AGAAAAAAATAATAAAACACACAGATACATCGGGAGGCACTAAGACATAAAAACGGAGCGATGCCAATCTTCAGAAGCATAAACTCGCATTTCACAAAAATACCGACGATAAAGTACGTACCACATGAGGCGCCGACAAGAAGCCAGACGGATAGCAACAAAGAGAACAGCGAATGAATTCCTTCTGAAACGTGGAGCTTTTACACGTCACGAAAAAAGGGATGCTCTTGTGGAGGAGGAAATCCTCTCTCACAAGTTAACTCTGTGTTTGTTGCTGATAAAGAACAAAGGAGTTTCTTTGTTTACGCGTCTTCTCATCATCATCAGGAGAAAAGGTTAGAGTTCAGGATTTTCCGCAGTAAGAGCAATGTTTTAAAAGAAATGTGAGATGCAAATATTCCGTAAAAGGGACTATTTGATTACCAATGTAAATCGGAGGGAAATCTAAAGGTAGATGACTAAACAAACAAACAAAAAACACGTAGAGTAGCATGAAAAGGCTCTCACGGGTCGAGTAAACACAATCGTGGCCATTTAGCAGAGATCCTGCAGTGTAGAATGGGTGCTCGCTTTCTATTACGTAGCGTCGTTTTTGTAAAATATGTGTTGTTTTACTTTATTGTTATTGGCATGTATTGTTCTGCCCATGTTGTACAGAATAAGTAGTATTATATAGCTTATGCTGTACAATATGTGTCACGTTTCTCATGTTGTATTGAATGTATTATTTAGGTTGTATGACATGTAATGTTACGTTCATATGGCCTTGAATTTATTACTTATTTTTTCTGTATAGTAAGGATTGTTCATCTTATGATGTCCAAAGAAAGTTATTTAATTTATATGTTCATATGTTTAACATATATTTCATGATAGAAGCCAAAATAGCTATTACCATCAATCGATTTACCCCCGAATATTACACTAAAAAAAACATTCTTGGCATTTTTGAAGTTCTTCCAGACGTGTCCGGCTAGCCAAGAGAAAAGATACGTAGTCTACGAAACATGTTAATATTCGAGATTGCAGTCCTAACTTTTCCCGGCGAAGAGTCCATCTCCACGATTAGATAATGGGAGAATAGTCACAGTTGTAGTAGATTCTGAGAGCAAACTTCACCGGAAGATTGCACTAAATGAAAGTGAAATTTTCTTATTACGGAAAAAAAATAATAAGAAAAGAACATAGCAAATAATACTTTTCTTTTGGAGTTTGTTAATGTTGACGAATATTTCAATTAATGAGAGTACGAAACGCTTAGCAATTTTTGCTCTCGAAAGCAAGAACTAAAGCTGTAAGAAGCCTTCAAAGAGTTTACATAATACTGGGTCTTCTTTTGGGTACTACAAAAAATCGAAGAGGAATGACCTGAAAAGTGGACTCCTAAAGCCAAAAGCCAAAAGTTAAAAGCTCCTCTCTCTCTCCCTCTCTCTCTGTCTCTCTCTCTCTCTCTCTCTCTCTCTCTCTCTCTCTCTCTCTCTCTCTCTCTCTCTCTCTCTCTCTCTCTCTCTTCTCTCTCTCTCTTTCTCTCTCTCTCTCTCTCTCTCTCTCTCTCTCTCTCTCTCTCTCTCTCTCTCTCTCTCTCTCTCTCTCTCACGGTCTTTCTCTCTCTCTCTCTCTCTCTCTCTCTCTCTCTCTCTCTCTCTCTCTCTCTCTCTCTCTCTCTCTCTCTCTCTCTCTCTCTCTCTCTCTCTCTCTCTCTCTCTTTCTTTCACTCACTCACTCTCTCTTCCTCTCTCTCTCTTTCTCTCTCTCTCTCTCTCTATTTCTCTCTCTCTCTCTCTCTCTCTCTCTCTCTCTCTCTCTCTCTCTCTCTCTCTCTCTCTATATATATATATATATATATATATATATATATATATATATATATATATATATATATATATTTCCCTCTCCATCTATCCATCCACCTCTTTCTCTCTTCTCCTTATCCCGCTCCTTCTCCCTCTTCCTTTCCATCCATTCCTTCTCTCTCTCTCTATCCATCCATCCAACTCGTCTTCCCCTCTCTCTTTTTCCTTTCCTTCTTCTCCCTCATTTTCTTTTCCCTCTTCCTTTCTTTCTCCTTCTCCCTTTCCATCTAACCATCCATCTCTTCTCCTCCATTCATCTCTTCCTCTTTATCCATCCATCTCCTCCTCTCCCTCTCTCTCTCTATCCATTCATCTCCCCTTCACCCTCTCATTCCCTCTTCCTATCCCTCTCCCCCTCCCTCTCCCTCTCCCCCTTCCCCTCCCCCTCCCCCTCCCTCTCTCCTTCTCCCTCTCCCCCTCCCTCTTCCTCTCCCTCTCCTTCTCCCTCTTCCTCTCCCCCTCCTTCTCCTTCTCCATCTCCCGCCCCTCTCCCTCCCCCTCTCCCTCTCCCCTTCCCCCTCCCCTAACCTCCCCCTCCCCCCCCTCCTTCTCTCCCTCTCCATCTCCCCCTCCCTCTTTCTCTCTCCCTCTCCCTCTCCCTCTCCCCCTCCCTCTTCCTCTCTCCCTCCCTCTCCCTCACCCCCTCC